TCTTAAATTTTTGTATCTAATTTGTTTTGATAAATTTATAATATGTTAAAATCATCCAGAATTCGATTTGTACAAATATATTGTCGATTATTAATCAACAATCGATTGAAATAGCCAATTTGACTTGAATTCAGCTATCGAATTTATACCAAATATTATTAGTAAGCAGTTGTTAATTATTAGTATTTGGTGGTTAATTATAAGACGATTTATTGTAATTAATCGACTACCGAATGAAATGGCTGAATCAACCTGAATTCGGGCATTAAATTTATACTGATTTTATTCTGAATTTTATAAGTATTCAGTTGTTGATTATAAGTCGATTTATTGTAATTAATTGATTACCGAATAAAATGGCTGAATTGACCTGAATTCAGCTATCAAATTTATACCAATTTTATTCCAAATTTTATAAGTATTCGGTCATCGATTACAGGTCAATTTTATTATGTTAATCGGTTGTCGATTGAAATTTTTGACTAGAATTTGGTTGCAATTTTTTATTAGCATTTGACTGTCGATTTACTCTATCATTTAGTATAATATCAGCTAAATATTCGAAGGTCGAATTCAGATTGATTTGCTATTTCATTCAGTGGTCAAATTTCTTATATTCGACTAGTGCCAAGTTCTAGTATAACAAGATTTGGTGGGTTTACTTGATATCCTGATATGATATTAGCAAATATTTCTGCATTAATCTCTTTAATTCTGAAGTTTCTTTTATTTTTATTTAATAGTTGTCTTATTATTTAATCAAATTTTATTTCTTATTCAGTTGTAAATTCTGATTTACCAAACAAATTTTTTTGAAATTTTAGATTTTGATGTTTTTGAGCAAGACTTGACAATTCAAACAAAAGTTCAAACTGAAATACTAGTCTTAGAGTAGCATATGCAGGTCACTTTGTGACATTATAAATATTGTCATATTGAAAAACAATATTCTTGAAATCAATATTATCAATTACTACAATATTCCAAATATTTGATCCTTTATTAACTTTGTTAATGGATTATATTTATTAATATATTCTTTTTCTAATACTGTTTTGTGTTTCTATATATAGGATGTTATATATACCAAATGAAGTATTGCTTGCAAGAATGAAATCAATTTTGGTTGCTTGTATAAGAAGTCATAGTAAAAATGAACTATATTTTCCATAAACGAAAGGCAATTGTTAAAATAATTGATACAAAAAATCTATTATTTTTTTTATTAGTTCTTTATAAAATTTTGATTCTTTTTATTCATACTGTTTTTGTTTTCTTTCTCTAACTGCATTTTTATATTTTTCAATAGACCCAACTAATCCATCAAAAAAGTTAGTAAGTGCTAAAGGAAAGCTGTTATAATATTCATTTAATGAATTCAAATTTTCTAAACTTTTATGATATTGCTCAATATCTTTACATGAGTTACATATAAAATTTCCTAATGCTTCTCTATGCTGTCTGTATTCATCTGCTTTTATATATTTTTTATCTGTAGATAAATGTATTAATTTTTATAATAGTTTTTACAAGTAGTGGACTAAATAAACAATTTGTTGTATTTGTAGAGGATAACTTATTTGCATTTTGATTTTTAATAATTTCATCATATGCAACACTACTTTTTTTTGATTTTTATTTTTAGAATATAAAAGATTTGACAACTATCGTGAGAATAATTTTAAAACTTGGTTAGTATCATCTTTATGCAAGTCGTTTTTAACATATTATAAATTTATCAAAACAAATTAGATACAAAAATTTAAG